CGCCAACTCCTCACCCCAGCATCTCAGATCTTCTCCGCTGTTTTTTTCTTGACGTCAAAACTCCACGCCGTGCTTCTGCAGAACCCCCAAAGGCAATATTTCGGTATCAGTCAAAGTTAGCTCTGTTGCCAAATACTTGTGGCCCGGATGAGTCCAGATCAGGTCGCGAAGTCGCCGGCAAATGGCCTCAACATGCACCTGAGGAGCGTCCAAGAGCCCACCTAATTCCGACCCAATAGACACGTCCGTTCGCAGAACTTGCCGCAGTCGTTGAATCATGTGTCCGGGACGACATACTCGGGAAGAGGCCCTGAATGCAATGGGCGAGTTGCCGCTGCTGCAGGAATTTGGATGCATGCGAAATGCGAATGTCTGCTCAACGGTGGACAGGTCCCATCAGATTTGTCAGAGGTTTGCATGTTCTTCAAATTTCTGCAAGACTTCCATGCAGAGGGCTGGATCTTTATGAGGACAGAATGGACAGTCTACGCAGACGCAGAAGACCTTGCCGGATCCATTGATGCGGTCACGCAACGTGGCACAGACATCTGTCTACCGGATTGGAAGAGGACGAAGCAGTTGGCGGCGAAGGATAGTAATTTTGGTCGCTTTCTTCAATATCCTCTTCAAGACATTCCGGACTCGGTGCTTTTGCATTACAGAATCCAGCTAAACATGTACGCATGGATCCTTCAATGGCTTCTCGGCTTTGGTCATTCCCCGTTCCTCTCCTATCGGACTGTATGGCTGAATTCATGACATGGCGACGAAACGACCTGCAGTCACGCATACGTCCGACAGGAAGTCGGGGGAGTTCAGACTTGACCATGATGTCTGATCTGCGTGCTGGACGTCAAGACAAGGAAGGCCTTCGTCTTCCACAGGTGCATGCTGACGACTTGCAGCAGCTGTGGGATGATTCTGTCGTGGAGTCGATGATGTCTACCGAGTGGAATCGAATGCAGCATGGGTTGGCTGACCCAGCAGGGAGGAGCATGCACCGACATGCCCTTCATGCACGCACTCAGATGTGCAAGTTCCTGACCTCAGTGAATGATCTTCGTGGCGGAAGCCAAGATGGTGGAGAGTCTTTCTCGCAAATGGTGGAACGGCAACTGGAGGAAACACTTGAAGTGGAAGAGCCGGTGCCGAAGCGACATAAAGCTCTCGCGTCTACAGATTTCTTAGACATGAGTGCGACCATGACGCGGTATTATATGCAGACCGACTTCGACATGGGGTCTATTCCCAGTCGTCTACATGATATGGACACCTCTGAAGGGAGCGTACTGCAGGAAGTCGCTAACTTCTAAAGAGTTGTTGCCGACTATGAGGCAAGCGCAGGATGGTCGACGAGTTTTCGGTTTCTTCTCCAGCGAGCACTTGCCATCCACCCGCTGCGTCTGTTAGACATTAGCAGGCGCGAGGAAGTCATGTTTCTGGAGTTAATAGAAGGTTCTGGTCGCCATGTCCGTGTTCATAACGGCCGATGCTTTTTCTACTCAGAAATGCGGACATCCAGCTGCCAAATACACCCTATTTAAGCCGGCCCCCCCCCACCCTGGAAAAAGCCCGAGCAAGATTACCAAGATGACCAGCCAGGTTGCACACGTTGGTGGTTCCAGTTTCCCAGCACGCTGTACTAGTAATATGTTTTAATGCTGCTAATATTCTGACCGCTCGCGCAGCCCATACCACGCAGGAGCATCGGGTTTGAGTGCAGAGGTCGTGAGCTCGAAGATCAACTGAGAAAGCCTGCGAAGAAGGGTTTTTAGCGTCCTCAGCCCGAGCCCCAAAAATCTCAGCCCCGATGCCCAAACCCTTGAACCCGTAAGTCTAAGCCCGCGGCCGAAACACGCAACCCTGAAACGCAGAACTCCAAACATTATACCATTATGCCGCTGCCACAACTCAATACAGCAAGTTCTAAACCCCCCAAGCCCCAAATCCTGGATCCAGCACTCCTGACTCAGAACATCAGAACCCAAAAGCGCAGCTCGGTGAACCGGTGCCCGGCAAGGCCCTGACCGCAGCAAGCGATGCGGCAGGCCGGTAGTTACAGACTTCCCGAGCCCACAAGTAAGGCCATTCGCAACGGGGTTGTGTGTGTGTTTAACCCACAACGCCCTAAAGCCCTTAAGCGCCGAACCCTAAGCAGCCCAGAGCCTGCCTCCCAAAGCCCTTGAGTGAACCCTTGTATGAGCTTTCATGTCGAGGATTCCCCTTGGGTTTCCCTTACGGGTGCTAGGAGATTCTTCGCAAAAAGGAGCCTGCGGCTTCAGGTTTCGAGGGGTGTAGACTGTAGAACCAGAGCCCGCAAACTCCCTAAACTTCCCGACTCGGCAAAATTCGCAACCTACAGCGGGACACTATTACTCCACGGCTCGGGACTGCAGCTATCTGCAGCTGCAGGTCGGCATCAGCAAGAAGTGGCTGTGCGCCCTCTGAGCCAGTCCCGGCTTTGACTAGTTATGCAGTCGGTTTGGTTTACCTTGGGACCTTGTAGTCCCTCCCTCCAAGAAACGAAGAGTTCTACCATAATGAACCCCCAAACCCCAGTCCAATCATTAAGGCCCTTAGGCTTCGAAAGGCCCTGGAGACCCACAGCCCGCAGTCTTCAACTTTCAGCCCCGTAAATTACAGCTGGGGCCCGAAGTCCCGCACCACCCCCACCGAACCACAAGCCCAAAGCCCCGACCCAAATCTGACCCCTCAGACCTACACCCTGAACCCACAAACCACCTGGCCCCAGCCCTGAACCTCCTGCACAAATCTAGGGATCTAGTTCACTCGCCGTTTTTCCCAAGTCTCGAGCCTTCTGGCCTTTCCACCTGCGGCGCTGTAGGCTCCGGGTTCAAAGCCCAAAGCCGCGTACCCCAAAGCCCCAGAGCCCAAGAACCGCAGACTCGAAAGACACAATCTGAGTTCTCGTTGAGGGATTTAAGTTGCCATGATAAAGGAAACCATACTATGTATTATAGATCCCTATTATGGTAATTGAAATTAAAGTCCTCAACAAGAACCCAGACAACCAAACCGTAAAACTCAAATTCCAGACCGCAGCGACGCTAGAAAGGCCCTCGCAAAGGTGGGCCCAAAGTGGCCCTCGAGCCATTGATGCAGTTGCCCATTGACAGGCAGGCGCTGTTGAAAAGCAAAGCCACGTAGTGGAACCGTTATAGAGCAGTTAACGCCCACCTGAGGTTGGAAGGTCCCTGGTCGTCCCGACGTTTCCGGCCTATGGAACGGGCCTGGATCGAGGGTCCGCCGCTGCCTGTCTTGGGAAACCCTAAACCCTAAACCCTAAACCCTAAACCCTAAACCCTAAACCTGCATTAAAAAAAAAAACCCTAAACCTCAAATCATAAGAGCTTGTATAGTGACCCTGAGCCCCAAACCCCGCGGCCAGGCTGCGCGCCTTCCGCCGGCTCTCAGAGTTTCGCGAGTCGCTGCCGCCTTCTGCTCGGTCTTTTTGGGTCTGCCGGGGGTCTCGCGGTTGAAGGGCTCATTTTGGGTTTAGGATTTTGGGTTCATTTTGGGTTTAGGATTTTTTCATTTTGGGTTTAAGATTTTGGCCGATGTAGATTTGGGGCTTTTTAGACAGCTTTCTGGCGGGTTTTGGGGGTTGGGGCTTTTGAGGTCTTAGCATGGTTGTCAGGGTTCTTGAGGGTAACGGCTTCGGGTCCACATGATCACTGTCCCCCACCTCTCCCGCCCCAACACTCAGCACAGAGTGGTGGGACGCATGCCGGCAACATGCCGTAATGGCTGCAGCGCTTGCTCTGCATAGGATTTCCGGCTATGCTGATGGAGCTTGGATGCAGTGCGATTTGCCGTCTTGTTGTGTTGGGTAGGTTGCGTCTTATCAAAGTCAACCTCGGTTTAGTGCTGCTGCATGTGCTGTCATCCGAATTCCGAATCGGGTTTGGGGGCCACGGCTACGGCTGCTGGTGAGGGGGTGCCGGATCGCGGTCTGCCGGGTGCAGAGAAACAATATCTCCAACCGAGATAGTCGGTCAGAGATGGTGCGCTTGTGTACTGTACTTATAATCTATAATCCGAAATCTTTCACACCCCACCCCCGCGTGCCAAACCCTAAGCCCTACTCTCAACTCTGCAGAATTTCAGCCTTACCCAGGTCACAGCCCCGCATGGCATTCGTGGACAGCGGCAAACTGGCAGAGGCTCAGATGTGGACTTTTTACCCTCAAGCCCGAACCTGAAATATTCCTAGCCAACCATGGGGTTTAGGGTTTAGGGGCTATGACGATTCCATTTTCTCTGGGAGCTCAGGTTTACAACTGTCATAGATGGAGTGAGCTCTTGTTCTGTTTCCTGGAGCGGAAACTGGATCCCGAACCGTGGCCAACATTGGCCAACTCTTGAACCTTCAGCGATTCAGGACCCACGGGGTCTGCTTTGTCCTGTACCTACCCAGAAGTACCCCTGTATGGAAAAGATACCTTGGATTCGGAGGAGATATTCCTTCATCGCGGGGTGTGGGGCTTTTTGGGGTGAGTCTTGGTAGGATTTGATTCGTGACTGATCCCACCAACTTCACGGAGCAGTGCACGGGAAGGACCAAGTAATGTAGGGGCCTAAATACATACCAATATTATTTTGGGAGTTCCTTATCAACGTAGTATAATGGGCCCCAAAACCCTATTCTACTTATAAAACCCCCCTATAGTAAGCCGTCGTAGGACATTCCGTTGGCAGCAGCTGACGAAGTGAAGCAGTTCGAGCCGGATCTGTACTCCTGGAGGATCTCATCCCCAAATGCTGAGTCTGGAATTGCAGGCGCCTTGCTCAAAAACCCTAAACCCTAGAGTTTCGTGTCGGGCCTTTTCAGCAAGTCCAACTAACCTGACAGCGAGTCGACAAGGAGCTTTCAGGCGTAGTTCCTACGAAAACGCCCTATAAAACCCCAAAGCCTAAACCCAACAAAACATACCTCAGTTTCAAATCCTCACACCTAAATCCGAAAAGTTCCAGCTTTAGATCCTATAAGCCTTTGAAGCCGGGGAAGGCTTGGACGCAGCTCCGGTCCGCCTACTTCGACGTCTGCGTGGAAGCCGGGCAAAGTCCGGACAAAGTGCCGGGGCCTCGGGGTTTAGGGTTTAGGGTTTAGGGTTTGGGGGGGTCTAGGGGGTTTAGGGTTTTTAGGGTTTTTAGGGTTTTTAGGGTTTAGGGTTTAGGGTTTACGGGGGCTTGAAAAGTTACAAAATAGGTAGTATTATTAGGGGTACCCCTTAAAGGGTACCCCTTCTGAACCCTACTTTCGGCTCTTGTAAAGGGGACCTTATTGAGAGGGTCTACATCCCCAAGGGGCCCCCTAATCCTAGCTCCCACAAAAAGGTTTTGGAGTAGATAATCTGTAGCAACGCTAGAGCGATATATAACCGTAAGGGATCGTATTGGTAACCTTTTCAGGCTTCTAGACCCTAAACTGCCCTAAGCCCTAAACCTCAAGGAATAGTATTTCGGGAATGATATTGGTAATCATGCAGGCTTCTGAAGACCCACAACGACAATCCTTACCCTCAGACTCCAAGTGTACAGATAGTATTACCTACTTTGGTGTCTTATAATCTTTTTAAGGTTTAGGGTTTAGAGTTTAGGAGTTTAGGGTTTAGGGTTTAGGGTTTAGGGTTTAGGGTTTAACTTGACCTACTTTGGGCTATTTGGAGTCTTAATTAGGGTGAAACCACAAGCGAAGGAAGGCCCAGTGAACTCTGGAAGTGCTGTCCCTGCAGGTCAGCGAAGCTCACCCGATGGGAGGCGGACTTGCCAGGGGAATTTACCAGGTTCACGGTCTTGGGGCCTAGGGTTAAGTTTTGGGGGTTTGGGTACTTGGGTATTGGTATTCCGAGTTCGTTTATAGTCCCTGAAGTTGTACGCCTGTTCCGATCGATTCTCGACCCTCAAAGCTTGAACAGCCTTGAGGACGCACGTGCGCAGCGACAAAAGTTGTCAAGTTCGCAGCTTGGCAGCTCTTTCTATTCGATCCGGGAATATTGGAGCCGCAATAGCTTGTAGCATTATTCCCCTGCCTTTAAGCTCATCCTTGTAGACGGCAGGCTCGAAAGACATTTCCTCGAACACAGGGCTCCAAAGTCTCGGGTTCCCGGTTTGGTGAGTAAGGTGTCTGGTGCATGACCGGCGACATGCTGTTGAAAGCATAATGAATATAGTGGCCCCAAAACCCTAGTCTAATTATTAAGGCCCCTACAGTAAGAGCTGAGGGGCTCATTTTGGACAACGGGGGGTCCGGGCTCGAAGTCCATGGCCAGAGGCATCAGGTGTTTAATGTAGGGGTCTTCATACTTCGAATAGGGTTTTGGGGGTTCCTTATTATAATTACAGTATGAGATACCTCAAAGCCCTATTCTAATTAATTATTAGGGCCCCTCTAATTATTAGAGTTTGGGGGTTTGCGGCTCAGGGCTTTATTGCGGCTGTGGATTTGGTGAAGTCGTTCGGGTTTAGCGGGCTTTGTGTCAAAGCTTAGCGAGTTGCCCTTCACCCGAAAACGTTGTGAGGGCTTGCGGTTTGCACGAGAATCTTGGAGTAGGACTTCGCATTCAAGTTTCTCTTGGTCGGGGCTCATTTCTGGTTTAACGAGTGGTGGCTTATCTTCAGCATAGATGCCAACCCGACAGTGTACATGCTCATGACGGGGGTGAGCTGAGAGCAAACGGTCTCCAGGAGACGTCATCATGGATGGCCCTAACAGGCTACAGGGTTTGAGGGCATCTCCCTTCCTCCAACCTTCTACGTAACAAGTCTAAGCCAGTCTAATCTCATGAGGCTCATCGGACGGCGCTGCACGAACCCTTTCTTAGGTACGAAGAGTTCAAGGCTCTCGGTTGGTCTCAGGATCTACGGTCCTGAAGCCCTCCACTCGGCTCCCATATGACTTCTGTGTGATCGGCCCTCGCCGCCTAAACCCTAAACCCAACAAGAAGATGCACATGCCTGTGGCGCAGCTAAGGAAGCTTGGCGAGCTGTCCTTGCAGGTCCTGCGTCTTCGTTTGTGAAGAAGAGAGACAGCTAGCAGCATATCATGAGTTCTCAGAATCCAACTTAGCGGGTCGGAGATGGTCTGGTTCTGTTTGCTTGGCGCATAGATCGTGCTTTATACTGATATAATGAAGCTATGTAGTTGACATGCCATGCTTAACCTGTTTTTCCTCACGCCTCACACTAGTCATGTCCGGATCGATCTCTTTCAAGGTTATCAGCCCGATTCCGCGCTGTCCGACATAGAAACCGTGAAAGATGAGAAGCTTGAGATACTCTCTCTTTCTCTCTCTCTCTCTCTCTTTCTCCCGGTCTCTGTGTGCAATGTTCATGTTTGCCTGCCAGCGGATGTAGACATTCATGCGAAACAACCACGTCATAGTCTTCTTGCGCCAGCCCCGGGTTGTTGGGCAGGACCCGGACTCCAGTGACACCGAGGTGCGAGTGGACGTCTGCAGGTTGCCGAAGGCACATTCCTTGGAGCTCTCTTCGGCCTCTGCAGAAGATCTCCTCACCGCGCCGGATCTGCACAAAGCAGTTTCACCGCTTGAGGCTTGCGGCGCGGCTTCAGACAAGTCGCGTGGCATGTGCCGCAGGAGGAAAGATTCAAAGCGTAGCTTGCCTTGCTTCATTGAGTTGGAGTTTGCAGCCAACAAAGCCTCAAAGCGTGAACCAGGCCAGTTGTTAAGCTCCATCCGGCCCCTTTGAAGAACAAGGCAGACTGTTGGCAGCAGCTCCACATCCCTTCGCACGGCTCGGTCCGCATATGCCGGAATGAGAGAACCTCCAAGCTTGGCGCAAAGGGGCCCGAACCCTCCTCGTACTCCCCCCCCCCCNNACCCTAGACCCTAAACCCTACTCTAAGCCCCTGAGTAAGAGAAGCTTGGACACGGAGAACTCCGGAACATCGACAGGGCGCAATGCAGGACAAAACAGGGACCGAGCATGCCCATGTCGTTCCGGCTAGGCTTTGGCGCAGGCCTAGTCGGTTTAGCCGTTCTACATAGGTTCCCTACTATTCCCTAAACCCTACTACCCTAAACCCTCATGCCCTTAACCTTGTGGGCGCGGAACCATGTAAGGCTCCTAATCTTTTTGGCACGCATCGAAGTTCAAGGCTCGGGGCAAAGTCCGGCAGCTTCCGAGCTCCGGCAAGCCCAGACTCGCGGACGATAAATCTTACGCTCCGGGCATCAGAGCCATGTCGGGTTCAATACTTCGCACAAACTCAGATTTTTGAGCCGTTACGATTCTAAGAACCTGCGGGACGGCATCAGGACTTGGCTGATGGGCCTAATCATATCTGCCGGAACCATCCAAACCCTTGTCGCTGGTTCCAACAACGTCTCGCTCACACAGAACATAAACTCCATTCCCCGAAGCCCCCTCGCAACTCAACATTACTGCAGGTATCCCAATTCCAAAGCCCTTCTACCGCCCCTGTACCTAAACCCGGAGCCCTCAACCCCTGAACCCACCCAATACCCAAAAAAACGCTGAACCCAAAGCCTAAACCCCTAAACACTGAACACCTCATGAGGCGGACGGAAAAAGGCGTAAACAAGGGCTGTACGAAACCCCAAACCCCTGAACCCCAA